CCTTGGTGTGTAAAATTTTAAACACCTTTGAAAAACCTATAAAAATAGGAAATTGATAGAAATAAAATGGTTTCAGCAGAGACATATTCACTTTCCAACACAGGCAGGACTTTTATCATATATTCCTTTTGTAGACATTTACTTTATGAAGCACATCATATAAACCAGAAGCAATAATTTGCTGTTTTTCTTCAAAATGCTGCAGCCAGACAGGACAGTCAAGGGAGACCGTCATCTATCATTTAAGAGTCCTTTTAACAGTAAGACATTAAAGTTAGTGCTTCTCAGCCTCTCCTGACATCCCTAAAAGCCACTTTTACATAATCCAGAGACACAAAAATTACCAGTTCCCTCAACGGCTTTTTGCCCCCTGGCTGTCTTTAAAATGTTCTACGACATTATTCTCTGGGGGATATTTTTTTTTAAAGGCACTGGTCCACGACATTCACAATGAGAAACATCCCCAGTCCCCTTGTTAACTGCAATTCTCTGCCAGCTGCAGGGTCTCCCTGTGTGTGTGTGTGTGGGGTGTTGTGTGTGTGTGTGTGTGTGTGTTTGTGTGTTTCATTTTGACATATTAAACCGTCAAATATTCATGTAATGAAATATTAATAAATACGGGGAGTTTTGTTTAAGTTGCTGTGAGTGGGTCTGTTAAAGTGGCTCCACAGAATGACTGAATATATGTATATATGTGTATTTATTTTTGTCTGCAGCAAGGTAGAGCATTTACAAATTATTTTATGTCACAAAAAAATCTGCTATATCGACTAATCTTGTTTGTTTTTTTAAAAAACATGTTGGCGGGTATTTCATCATGCAGATACTTCTGGGTTTTATTTGAGATGGTTTTGAGATATCCATCATTGAGACTGCTGCTGTAACCCCATTAAAGCAGACATACATTTAATTTAGTTTAGTTTTATTAGTTCCTTTTTAAAAAAAACTTACTTCAGCAAAGTCTGTGAACCTATTATGGACAAATAACTGGAGAAAACAAAACCAACTACATGGTTACATACCACCAAGAGAGTAAGTAAATGAGTAAATGGACATCCCAGTTCAAGTTTTCAGTTCTTATTAACCCAGAAAGAGGGAAATAGACTCCTAAAATGAGATTTTTGCATGCATATATCCCGTGAAAAATATGAGAACACAGTGTACAGTATAACCTTTACCATTCAGCATGTTAAAGTGGAAAGTAGGCCACATCAATCAAGTATGCAAGAAATGCAGCCTGCCTTTTGTGCAGGTCAAGACATTTGCCTTTTTGTATTTTCACAGTGAAACATTCAATTCTAAATAATAATTGAGCATGCAGGAGTACACTGTTTTTGTTTTCCAGGCACCCTTTTGTTCACTCTGTCCAAGTGCAGGTACAATACAGTAAACAATCACATGGGCATAGGCCTATTGCCACCCTCTTTCTATCTCACACATAGAAACCCATGGAGAAATACACATATTTGTGTGTGCACAAAATCTTCACCCTTATTCATATCGAGCCTGTGCAGTAATATCATGCAGTAGGCTGGGACTGCAAACATTTACAGGATCAAAGGCAAAACTTCACTTGACCTGAAAAATAGAGGTAAAGTTCTATACTCTTTCTTCTTCTTCCACACAAACATACAGACACATGCACACACATAAGATGAGCCAAATCCACTGAGGTGATTTGATCCCCTGTGGAGAGGAGACTGGTAATGTTTTCAACCTTTGGAGAAATCATTGCCAGGTTCGAAAGAGAAGAAGAGACCTTTTGTAGCCTTGTGGCCTCAAAGAAGCTGTGTAAGCCCTGAGCTCCATCTTGCAACCAATGTTTGATGTCGATTTGAGGAAGATAGACTAACTGCAATCCGTACAGCAGCCTTTTATTTTGCCAGCAAGAGAAGCCGCACCAGTCTTCTCACACTAAGGCATATTGATTTCACTGCTTCCTACAAAGATGGTAGCTATGCAGTCAGTCGATGTTACTTTGCATTTTCATACCACCTTTGTTTATTTGCTTTGGTGTGTCTCAGAGCTTAGGGTGACATAAAGAAAATTGTGTGGTGAGTGGATTTGACCAGTGTGAGGCTGCATCCAAGATTGGCTACTGTGTTAGATGATTGAGAAGGAAAAATCTATTTTCCATTTATCTCATCTGAGCCCAAAGAAGTATGGCATCTAACTAGAATTTAGCCCACTGTGCTCATGCAGTGCAGGTGCTAATGGGCATTAACATTCATAGCCTGACTTGGTTTATCTACTTCTGCATTTTGTTTGCACACCTTGCTGTTCAGCACACAATCCCTTTAAATGTAATAAAGTCTCCTTGGTTTTCAGAGCCTATTCAGACAAAGTAAAAAGAGCAAGTTGTTTGTTTGCTTGTTGGTTTTGTGTTGTAGAAACAGGGTTTTTAATCGCCATAGCTCATGGAATTGTTACACTGCTGGTGTGGCTCAAGACAAATCTCCATGGTGACAATTGACCGTTTGCTAAATCCCTACCACAAACTGCAATTGTCCAACAGGGTTACATTTTCCACCATTTTAAATAGTTGTTGTTTAAAGGTAGCTCACCTGGTAGAGCTGGTGTTCCATCTACCAAGGCCTATTCCTTGCAGCAGCTGCCATGGGTTTGATATTGGTGTGAGTTTTACCTGTGCACCCCTCTTCCTCTTCATGATAAACTGCACTTTACAAGCTAGCAGCATCAAAATTCAGCATGGATATGCAGCCTGTCAGATACACTATGTATTTGTATGTCAGTGTGTGTGTGTGTGTGTGTGTGTGTATGTGTGTGTGTGTTTATGTGTTTATGCGTGGCTAGCAGGCAGAGAGCCAGGATGACCCAACTTCAGCTTTTCAGCTTTAGTGCAGTGCTGCAGACAGCTGTGCCACAAACACGCTGCTGTGGATCACCGCGAGGGCCTTTTATTTAGGTCACATTCTGTGCTTCAGCGGCCAACAGAAGGGATCTCTGTCAACTGCAATGAATACCTTTAGTTGGACACAGCCCACTTTTTAAGTGTCGTGCAAGAAGCGGACACTGTGCGTGTCTGTGTGATATGTAGTGCATGCTTTGTGTGAGTTTACTCTTGAGTGAGAGTGAGTATATTGCAGATGGCTGTGGGGATTGACCACTCTATGTTTTTTCATTTTCATTCTAACAATACAAGGGTAAGGTATTGGCTTAATTCTCTCTCAGAGTGATTTGAGCCCCTGGTTTAGTACAGAAAGGAAACTGCATGAATAATTTACCCCAATTTTTCAATTAATCCAGCACCCAGTTTACAGCCATGTCAAAGAAAATAATAAATCTGACTCAATCTATATGCACATAAATACATCCTGCATGTGCCCTACACAGTGTCCTCCAGTTAAGAAAAGAACTGACATGATATTTCATTCTGCTGCTCTGTCTCCCTCGTTTCCTCCCTTTGTTTCCTCTCCCCAGTGATCATTTTTTAAATTTTTCTTATTTACCACTGTGGCCTTTGGTAGTGCATTATAAATCGTAGTAATGAATTCCACACACAGACTCGGCCACACTGCTGTCACAGTGCTACACAAGGGTGCGTGGGCTCTTATTATTGTCTCGTTAGCTTCACCTCCAGTCCATTGGAAACAGTGTGGGTTCAGTGGCTAGCCAGCCACAACCCCAGATGGGTAAGGAAGGCAGTTTAAGGGCGCTGATTGATGCCATTGTTTTCATGTCACCATGTAAGGGAAAGGTCATTTATTGCAGCATGCCTCAACCAGCCCAGAAGCTGTCAGCTGGATTTTACTGGCCAATTAGTTTGCCTGTAGAGGAGAACTAGCGGTATAGAGGGAAAGTGTAGGATCAGGCTGTTATCATTTGTTGTGGGTGGGGCGGGTGCATGTTTGCACACTAAAAGGTGTACTGTAAAGCAAATGCACTTTTTGAGTACTACCCAATCTGTTATATGATCTGTTAAATCATAGGAGGGGTTAAGACTCTTTGCAGAAGATGCCTATGTCATTGCATTCCAATCACATCCCATTTCCTACACTGATACTTCATTTCTAACAGCACCCTTGAACAAATATAGCACACACTTGAGCTGGAAATAGATTTGAACTCATCTTGATACCTCTTCTACCTTTGTTTTTTCTTTGTTTCCTCGATCCCCTGTCACTTTTTCACTGAAATATACCAGAGCGAACAGAGAAATGGAAGAGGAAGCTTGAGGACAGATTTCGATGTCAGGGACCACATGCCAAGTGGCTGCTATATTTAGAGATTGTCCTTCTGAAGTTGACGGACAAAAATAAAAGAATAGGTCCAAGTCCCGTCAACATCACTAAGTTTTCTCATCTGTGAAGGAATGCCAAAAAGCATCTTCTTCAAATCAAAGCACATGCAGACACTACACTGTGCTTTGGGTATATGCAAAAATGAGATATTTATAATTCTCTTTTCTGTCTCTCTCTTCTTGTTTGTTTGTTTGTTCTTCCTTATGGGTGTGTGTTTCTTTATAGAGCTAGTTTTGGGGCCTGTGCAAACTTCCTGTGGCAGCAGTTGGATGTGCACTTCAACCCAGCCACGATGACAATGAAAGGTCTGTCCAGCAGCCGTAGTCACCACCACACGGTGACCTGCGACCCCTCTTATGACTCTATGACCCTGGGGCACTCGGCTCGTCGGTCCTATTTCCTCAACCCTGGGGAGTCTCATCCTGCTGACCACCCCTGCTACACACAGCACAACTCCTTCCAGTCTGAGTGCAGTGCCTACCCTGATCTGGCCAGCTGCACCTTCCCGCGCAGACATTACAGCTCTCACCATGAGCTGAAGGAGGAGTGTGGTGCTGTGGTGCCTTATACAGGTCCAACAGGGAGCAATAAGGGAAGTGGAGGAGGTGGTGGAAACAATAATCGCATCCCTTCTAACCTGCTAGAGCAGTTTGAGCGCCAGGCACCGGTACAGCGTGAAGGCTACCATACACTGCAGTACAAGCGCACTGCGGTAGAACACCAACGTAGTGACAGCCCTGGTCGAATCCGCCACCTTGTTCACTCTGTCCAGAAGCTTTTCACCAAGTCCCATTCCCTGGAGGGGCCCTCAGGGTCTGCTGGAGGAGGTAGTGGGAGGATGAATGGCAGCAAATCCAGTCCTGATGACCCACCCTCCTCTTCTGGCACTTTGAAGCATAGTAAGCGCAGTAAGAGTAAAGACCGTTCCAAGTCAGAGCCTAAGATGCGCACTGCTATCTCAGGCTACTGGAGCTCAGACGATACACTCGACCGGGAGATGTGCCTCTATCACCATCACCACGGGGGTAGCAGTGGAGGCCTACCCTCTGGGGTCATGACCATGGGTCGTCACCCGGACAAATCCCAGTCCCAGTACTTCATGGAGTCCTACAACACCATCAGCGCCCACTCTCTCAAGACGTCACGCAGCAACAACGATGTGAAGTGCTCAACGTGTTCTGGGGGCAGCAGCGGAGTTATGCCACTGGGGGGCGCCCTGGATGGCCAAGTGCAGCTGAAGAAGAGCTCATGGTCTTCTACTCTGACGGTGAGCAGAGCAAGAGAGGTTTACCAGAAGGCCTCAGTCAACCTAGATAAAGCTCTAGTGAAAGCCGAGCAGGGACGCACCTGCCACTTCCTACAGGTAGGACTGTTACAACAGCCCCACCTCTCGCATGTCATGCTTCATGCATCCTGCGGTGCCAGCTGCTCCTCCATGCTTCTGTATTTCTGCATGAATATGTGTTTGTTTGTTTGTGTGTGCGCTGTAGAGAGGATGACTGGGGAAGCAGTGGCCCAGACCCCATCTTTCATCATTCTCTGTGTCTCAAATAATTATTGGTCTTGTGTTGACTTTATCCCAGGTATCATCTTAATCAAAATCATCATGTCATCTGCTCCTCTGTGTTGTTTATGACGTCACCTCTGTACTGTATAGTATGTCATACAGCATCAGATAGTGTATTTAGCCTTCACATTTACTCTACTAGAGAAATGAGGTTCATGTACCCTGAAACCTTTTTTACATTGTACAAGCACAGGAAATAAGTCCAAAATCACAAATCTAATCTGTTTCCAGAGCATAAAGGGCAAATTGTCACATGAAACTACATTTATGCAGCTGCTGAGAGTGTACGTGGTCATAGCAGTGTTGGCGTGTATGAGTGAGAGTGTGTATGTCTTATTCACGGTGTGAGAGTAGGGTACTACTATGAGATCATAGAGAGCCAGAGGTGAGCAGACAAAGAAATGAAAGGGAAAAAATGCTCTAGTCCTTAAAATAAGTGGTCAAACACGCATGCAGACACATCAGTGGGTTCTCAGTCACTGTTTTGCAAAAGATAAAAGTGTTTCATATTGCATACATTACATCGGGGTGAGCTGCAAATATAAGCCTGAGGAGAGAAATGGAGAGACAAGGCAGTGAGAATAGAGGGGAGGGTGTGTATATGTGTGTGTACTGTAGGAAAAGGATCAAACGACAGCAAATAAGGCCAAAAGAGGAGGGTGTGAATGAGAAAGTAAAAGGCAGAAAGTGAGAGTGAGGGAGCATAAAAGACATAGAAAGTTCTGTGTGGCCATGCATTTTAACAGCCTGGAAAACAGAGTGAGCAGATCAAGAAAGGATGTTCGCTGCAGTACAGCAACATTTTTCCCAACCTAAAAGAACCATCGTTTTTTTTTCTAGGAAGAGAGACAGGGAAAAACACACCTTAAAGGAGAGCAGCCGGACGAGTTAGTCTGCACATAATTGTTTGAATCTTTATAACAAGAAGTTCACGTGATTCACCTACTGGGATGAGATCCTGTAACCTGTAATTGTTTAATGTACACACGCGCACACTTAAATTAGTACCTAACCTTTTCATGCACAGGTTAGAATATATTAAATACGCTGCACTACACTGTGAGGGTAATAGGATTAAAAAGCATTACTTCATTTAGGTTTTTTATGGCTTTCTCTCTATAACAATCAATTATTTTGACGTCATTCCAGTCCTGGTCTTTCCCAAGATGTTAGCACAGTCTGTAGTTGCCCCTGACATCAAAGTGAGTTTGGTTTCCTAGTTACGCACAAGTCTGTTGAATGATTCTCGTGCACTTTTTTCTCGCTCTGTATCTCATTTCTTTCACTTCAGCGCTGGTGCCCTAACAGCCACTCACATTGGGACTGCAGTGGTTCTGCTGAACAAAACCCCCTTTGTTTTCCCTCTCTCTCCATGTCTGCTGCCTTTGACTAACTCTCTCTTTTAGATTAGCGCTGGGAGATAGCTTTACCTCCTTTTATTTTTACCTTCATTATTGTGTGAAAAGTCAGGAGAGCAGGCACAGGCCAGGATACTGCAGCGTTGTGTCAAAACAATTAATTCCCTGCATTTATTATGCCACATGCAACACAGGACAGACAACACAAGCTTATGGTATGATCAAGGCTGACCCTGCATTGATACTGTTACCATTTTTTTTAAGGCATGAAGTACACTATGTGATACGTGTATTTATATCAAGCCAGAGTAGAAAATGTTGCACCCTTGCTTTTGAATGTGTATGAGCACTCGTGTCTGGAGGGTGACCTGTGTTTGCTCCCTCTTTTACCTTATTTCATCGCATGTCTACAGGTGCCTCAGGATGACTGGAGTGGTTTCTCTCCGCTGGCGAAGGATGATGAGATCCCGTGCCGGCGGATGCGGAGTGGCAGCTACATCAAGGCCATGGCAGAAGAAGACAGCGGCGACTCGGACTGCAGCCCCAAACCCTCGCCAAAGGTCCAGGCACGACGAGCCAGCTACCTGAAGGCCACACAACCGTCCCTCACAGAGATGACCACACTCAAGTAAGCGTGTGTTAGGACTGAAACAATTATTTGCACTGTCAATTATTCTGTTAAATTTCTTGTTTTTAATCGATTCATCAGAAACCTAAAAAACCCTTTCACAATTTCCCAGAGCCCAAGTTAATGTCCTAAAATTACTTTTTCCCCCCAACCAATCAACCATCTACCTAATTGCTTAATTGACTAATCACATCAGTTGATGTATTGATTGTGTGGTGTAACTATATGCCTGCCTGTATATTATGTTTATGAATGTGTATATAGTACATGTTTTGAACATAATGTTCAAGTGTTCACATACTCCGCAGTTTCAGTGAAACGACGGTAGAGATAAAGCAGTCAGTGTTACTCAAGCGCCTGCCCGGTAGCAGTCTGGCTTATGTGCGAGTCCCTGACTCTCAGTGGCCACAGCTTAATTACCTGTTCTGTGTTTACAGCTCAGACACACACTTCTGTCTTCATAGCTGGCCTCTGTATCTCCACAATCTCACACGCACACACATACTGAACAGGCTGAGCCTTAATTGAAAATACATGATGCCTGTTCATGTACTGAAGTCTCTTCGAAAATAAATGCCATGTTCTCAAGAAATGCATTGTGGGTCGAAAACATGCAACAGATTTTTTTTTCTCCCTCAGAGCAATTCTTTCTGAAAGATATGAGGTTAAAAGCTGAGCTTCATCATTTGATTTTGATGAAGCTGTTTCATGTTGCATATTAGGCATTCTCTGCTCAGCAGCATATTTTTCACAGCGTGAGCTCATAAAGTATTCAGTAATATTAGACTCCATCAAGAACATTTCTGACTTAGCAAAGTCTTGAAACACATCAAGCTGACAGTATTGTCCACAGTTAGGTTAAGACACAAGTTAACTTAAAGAACCACTATGTAAAGTTTAGTGGCATCTATCGGTGTAGTTGCAGAGTTCAACTCCCTCTTGTGACACTCCCCTCTCTGGTGCCAGTGTTTGCTTTTTCCATTCTGAGCTACTGTAGAAACATGACAGTTCAACATGGAAGGCAACCCATAGTGTCTGTATATAAAAGGCTCATTCTAAGGTAACAAAACATAAAGATTCTTATTTTCCGGTGATAATACACTAATGAAAGATTAGTTATGCATGTTATATTCCATTTCTGCCAATAGATCCACCTAAATGTGACATACTGGAATGAAGCTCAGCTCAAATTGTTTCTCACTTAATATTTATTTCTAAAGGGATAGACACTTTTTAAGAATTAAAAATTAGGAGAAAGAACAATGTAAAACATAATAAATAAATAAGAAATTTTGTTTATTATTTTTTTATTTTCTTCCCATTACACATACTCCAATGACTAATGTTAACATTGTATTGAATAAGTTCATTACTGACATTTGGGAATGCTGCAACACTGCCAAAAAAGTTCGGCCACTTAGGTTAGCCACTTATTTGAAGGAGAAAAAATATTAGATAGTCTAGCTTGTGTACAACCTGTCTAACTTCTCATTGTCTTGCTCCACTGACTTAATTGTAATGTCACGCCATGTGTCTTACTTCTTACTTTAATGAGTACAATGTTACGAATAGTTGTAAAAATTTCCATTAATTGATCATAATGACATTATGTCCTCCTACCATTTTCCACTCATGACCTCGCTTAATATAATAGGAAGTCATATCCAGTGAAAGTATTTTCTATCCTACTGCCTTGAAACAGTGAAAGAATTGGGGACACAAATCTTATGTAGCAGCACGGGGCTGTGACTGATTAGCTGTGTAATATACAGAGATGAGAAGAACACCAGTGGGTGCTCAGTCACTGTTACTGGTTGCACAAACACAAGCACACACACACACACCCTTATGTAAGTGCAAGTGGCGCAGCTTGGGGCCCACTAATGACTTGAATTTGGCCCGGGGAACGCCATCATCATCTGATGGAACCCAGTGGAACAAACCAAGCTGCAGTGCTGCACATTGGAGATAGAGAATGAGGCGGGAGCAGCTGACGTCTTGTTTTCACACTGTGCTTATGGGAGCTGGCACAAGCCTGCGTTACACTCTGCAATGATTAAATAATCAGCTTTGTTCTTCCATATGTCTCAGAGCCCATCCTGTGACCACTGTGTCCTTGACTAGTGATGAATTGCTCCTGAGAAGTTGGGATTTGTTTACTGTCACCCAATGCTAACCTTATTAAAACACATAGCACACAGACAAAACATGTGTTTAAATTAATGGAAATATTCCCTGACAGACAAAGAAGCTCAGGAGAAAAAAACATCCTTTCTTGTTTCCCTCGGTCACTAACAGTCGTCTTTCTTTTAGCCACAAATTCATTTATTCCTGGCCCAGATTTTATCGTGTTTATTTTTTTTGTCTCAGCCAGAACAGACATCCTGAATAATAGGTTGCAGTAATCACATCTCTGTATATTTGTCCTTGCATCCTACAACCATAGTCATCAGACTTGTATATAGACAGTGACTAAGAGGAGGGGAAAGAGGAGAAGGTAAAAGGAAATGGAGGATATGGAAGATGGCCAGAGAAACTTCAGGGCTGAACCGACTGACAGGAAAGACAAAGTGAAGCAAACAAGGAGAAAAAGTGATTTGATGGAGAAGAAGAGAAAAAAGCAGATTCAGGATTACAAGATCACTGCGTAATACAGTAGAAATCAACAGACAGCCTTAGCCAGCCCTTATTCTTGACTGGCAGAGGGGAACATGTGTTCATTAATGTCACTTGTTCCATAGAGGGACACCCTGGGAAAGGCTGAACTTCCCCCCTTAGGTGGTACTGATTACATGCTAGGTCTGCCATTCAAGTTGCCACAAAAGACATCATTGATTCTGCCTATAATCAGCCCCACAGGGAAATCAAGAGCAGATGTGGAGAGGGATAATGGTGTTGGTAGATTCTTCCTTGACTTGATTCCTCTGTGCGTCCTCCACAGTCACAGACTCCAGGTAGCTGACAGGGATGATTCATACCAACCTCTGAGGTTTGGGATGTACATTTTTGATTCTTTCTTGGGTTGATTGATGCACCTTCTCATTTCTATTATAAAGTGGGAGAATTTGCAGCCCCAGAAAGAAAATGGAAATATTGTGAGGAAAATGGGAGATGTTGCATAGTAATGTAGGGAATAGCTAAACAGTTAATACAAAAAATAATAAAAACAAATTACTTAAAATAAAATGAGCTAGTTAAAGATTAACAGAGGAGAAAATTTAAAGGAAAGGTTCACAATTTTTCAAGTCCATCTTAAAACATGAATCGGGTTCTCATATGACCATTGAAACTGGTTGCTGTAATCATTCATCCTGTTCATACTGGCTATTAAGAGATCCATTCCTAACATGCTTCTAATGTAAGTGATGGGGGAATAAATCCACAGGCCTCATGCAAAAATCCATTCAAAGGTTTATCTGGAGATTATGAGGCTTTAGCAGTCTGATTTAGACAAATTCCGTGAGAATTTTCAAAGTGAGGAAAGTAAGAAATTCTCTCTGAATGATTACAGCAAGCAAAAATGAAAAAAAAAATCTATATTAAAATATCTTTATGCAGCAACCAGTAAACAACTCTTTCAGTCCAAGTAAGTGACACAGAAGGAGACATATAACGGACCAACACAATTATAGATTCATTTTATGATTACCTGCTTAATTAAATGTCAGAAAAGAGTGAAAAATCTATATGGGAGAGGGGTAAATCAGTGGTTTGGGGCCACTTTCATAACCAATTTGTATGGCTGTGGTGTCAAGACAAACCGCATTTAAAAAAGCAAGTTTTATGTTGTCTATGAATCTGTGACAACAAATCACATCCCGCTTTTGCCTGACAACCTCACAGACAGAGAAACCCTGGTTTAAATATGCATTAAAAGCACATTGCTACTACAGAACACCTCAATGGGAAACCTCAGATTAAGAAAGAATGAACTGTGTTGATAAACTGGCAAGCGTAAGTAACTGTTGAGAGCTTTGATACAGTAGCGTCTGCTTAATATTAAAAGGCCTAGAGGACAGTGTGGCTACATGGAGATGTATTGTATTTAAAATTAGCAACTGTTCTTCCAAAATCATCTCCTCTGTTCCCATCTCAATAGCTCATCTGTCCTTTCATTACCGTGGTTCTCTCTACTGTCCTCTCCCCCTCCATTCTTCCATCCAAGAGCGAGTAATCTAGTTTGCTTTGCTGTGGTAACCACACTCTATTTTAAGGAGGAAATACATAATTAAAGCAGACCTGACCTGGAGGCAGAGAGTCATAAGAGTTGTGTGTATATGTGTACAGTATGTGTCTGTGTGTGTCTGTTTTGGATAAGACTTTCTAATCTGAGATGTATTCATTTCTCTCCATGCACTTTGTTTTCTGCAAGTTGGTTTAGTAGGCCACGGTGTTCATCAAGAAGAAAGCGAGTCAGCTTTTTAGGTTTTATTTCCCCTGATTAATGAATTGTTTAGCCGACATCCAACTGCTGCGTAACCTACACACACACGCTTTTTCACATGTATTCAAAAACACACACGCACACAAAGGTGTGAAGCATGCTGAGCAAAATGGATTGGAGGCAGGTGAGAGCTAATGAGACACCTATTCATCTTCCTTGGAGACAGGGATGTGTTTGTGCATGTGTGTGTATTTTTGTGTTGATTATACAGTATATATGTTCATTTTAGTTAAACATACTGTACCTCACAGATACACACACAGTTCCTCTTCCCTTGTCTTACATATGTATGTGTTCTCACCATTAAGTGTTTTAGAAAGTGCTTACAAGGTGTTTCAAGGACAGACTACCTAAGCTACTGTGTTTCTCAATACCACTGTGCTTGTTGATTAGATAAGAGTGTCTCCTGAAGCAATTGTGGATTGATCCGTATCTTTGGGTTCATACGCACTGCCAAGTACTTTGCAAATACCTTCTCTCGCTCTCTTTTCATCACTTCCCTTGCTCTTTTTCTACCTCCATCTCGCTTTGTTTCTAAATTTTTACCAAGCTCCCTTTTCTCTGCTTTGTCTTTTTTCTTTTTCTTTTTTGTCCTTCGTATTTTCTCTCTTTCCTTCCTTCTTGTGGCAGGATTTCCACAGAGCATTCGCCCAAGCTACAGATCCGGAGTCACAGCTATCTGCGGGCGGTGAGTGAGGTTTCCATCAATAGGAGTCTGGACAGCTTGGACCCGGCAGGGCTGCTGGCCTCGCCTAAATTCCGCTCGCGAAATGAGAGCTACATGAGAGCCATGAGCACCATCAGCCAGGTTAGTGGCACCGAGAGCCCATGCCTCTCTGCCGTCGGCCTTACGCCCCCTGTACCTCCACTGCTATGTCCAATAAGGTCGTGCAGGGGGGAGGAAATCCCATTCATAGCCGTCCTAAGGCCTGAATTAACAATCAGGTCACCATCCGGCAAAGTATGAACAGTACGAAAACCCCCAATCTCCCAATTAGTGTATACGTCTGCGTGCTGTTTTGTGGAGCTCAGATGATTACAGGCGTATTCAGATTGGCTAATTAAACACACACGCACACACAGACACACACACACACACACACATTCCCCTCCTTTACCCTAATATGCTCCTTCTGCCTCGGCATACTTTGTGAAGCAAAATGACAGGCTAAAAATGTTCTTTTCAATTTGGCATCTGTTATATAAGAGATGAAAAACAAGAATTAACATGCAGCCATACGAATGTTATGAATAATTGAAATTGGGATTGGCTCCAAATTATGATGGGCATTTCCCTTGATTTGATAGTTATTGAACATATTGACACAAATGAATATTGAACAAACTGATAGGAAATACTCAACAGTGGAGGTCGGTTATTGTCACGGCTGCCACAAAATAAGATATTTGTCCTGTTGGATTTTGAGCATGGCTTCGTACTCTACATTATTTGGAGTGACGGGGGCGATTAGCTTACATTTTTACCTGGGGTAACAAGGATAATGTACTCCCTTCTAAAGCCCAGGGGCAACAGTTGGCCTCGCCAGCTGAATGATGGACCTTTGAGACATCCCTTCAAGTCCTAGCATGGAGCAGGCCCAGAGGAGAATGACACTCTGGACTTGGCATCTACAAAAATGCCACAGAATAAAAGAGGTGCTGCTAGGCTCTCTAGCTCACTCACTCACTCTCATATGTGACATGTATGTGCTGAGAGTGTGAAGTGACACACAAAAAAAGGCTCAACATCAGTGGATTGAATCGAGGTCCACAAACCTTTCTGACTCCAAGCTCTACAGTGTATACTCACACCCTGACTGTGCACTCTCTTCACTGCCAATCACCCAAACCAAATGCTTTAGTCCCCAGCCACATCCCATTCCTATGTTTTGCTCTATGCGCAAACATCTTGCAAGCTTTTTTAAATTTGGACTGAACAATGGCAACTTCAAGGAATGGAATGGAGCACCGTGATAGCTGTCCTTACACAACCAACTAACACACACCCATCTCACAAGTCTGTAGCAAGAGATTTCTAAGATTTCTTTTTTCTTTAGACCCCGTTTTGAAACCCAAACTTCACTAGCTGATAATGCAGGTGTAGTTTTTCCTCGAGCCACATCTAAACTCCCAGTCGTCCTAGCTTTGACACTTCCTAATTCTCACCTTTAACAACAACACTTGTAGTATTTCACTCTGTTTAGAGCCCTTTGAAGTTTTATCCTACAGTGATTCCTCCCCCTCGTCACTCCTTGAAAGTTCCTTTATTTTTCTCAACTATATTTCCTTTTTTTTAATTATATGTAAATTTCTATATATGGCTTAAAGCTTCACAAGGCAGTGTGAAGGTAAAAGAAGTCAAGGTTGGACCCATTTGAACAAACATGCGATGTGCTTAAAATGAGCTGACTAGTCGTGATGCTTCATCAAAGACCAAATTGCACTGCTAATCTGAGAAAATAGTTGCACTGCCAATTCATATTTTGATAGCTTTTTCTTAATGGATTTGAGTCAAAATATTTTTTGCCAGTAAGAGCTTGTTTATGAGACACTTCAGTTATTTGTTATTTCTCTGTGAGCAGACAAGGGTCCATATCAAACAACAGAATTTATTTTTGGCGTAAGTATGGTGAATCTGGCTGTCTCAAATCATGGAAACACTGGAACAATTTATTCTATTTCAGCACCCAATTCGTGATTTAAGTGTTTTTGTACATAAAACTCCTGCCGAGTGAAGCTTTAATCAGTGGAATAGCTCTGTAACACTTAATCTTGCAGCCCAAAGACATGATTCCCTGGCTTTTGCTTCTGTATTATTTTGTCCATTCTCCTTTGTCTTGCACTGTGCTGGAGTGCGCCTGTGCATTTTTATTTTTCCGGAGCTCGGGCGTGCCTGTGTGTGTGTTTTTTGTTTGCGTGCACGTACTGTATGTCTGCATGTGTACCCTCCTCCACAGGTGAGCGAAGTGGAGGTGAACGGGCAGATCGAGGCGGTGTGTGAGTCAGTGTTCAGTGAGATGGAGTCGCAGGCGGTGGATGCCCTGGACCTGCCCATGCCCAGCTGCTTCCGCATGCGGAGCCACAGCTACGTACGTGCCATAGAGAAAGGCTGCTCGCAGGAAGAGGAGGAGGGAGGCATCACAGTGGGCAACAGGAGGACCAACTCACCCCCGCGCACCACCACCACTGTCAGGACCATCCAGAGCAGCACAGGTCGGTGGGAACATGCACTTAACATACACAGACACCTGTGCTTATGAACATGTGTGAACATAAATAATTCATAGCACATTATAAATGTATATGTGTGCATAGAAAGTATATATTATAGATGTGCTATATAACTTACACAGCATGTGTATAGTGTCAACAAAGAATAAATGAATTAGTACTGCAGTAATTGAAGAAAGAGATGTATCCTTGTATAAAGATTGAAGATTGGATCAACAGCCATCAAATCAAATTCTCTCTTTTTTAATTTAGCAGTCTTGCACTGAGTATTTGCTTAAAGGAAAGAGTTGCCTTGGATAGCTAACCGGGGAGTAGTTTCACTTTCCAGACCCAAACCCTCTGTATTATTATCCATCTGACCCAGTTTTCTTCTCAGATTCAATATGATGAATGCAGAATTGTTTTTCCCACATAAGAGCTTATTCGAGCTGTAAAGCTCAGTGGCTGTTGGGTCTTATTTTAGCCCTCTTGTGTGCCTCATGGTCTGGAGCACTTGCCTTTCCAGCATTACTGCATGCAGTATTGATGCTGAGTGGCGCTGGCATCCAGCACTGGGTGCTTCTATGTTTCCCACTGCAAATCCGAACGTCATTCCCTTACATTTTGCATGTTGAGTCACCGTCGCATGACGCACTCTGGCTTCCCCCTCTGTTTCTTTTTAATTATGCCAATTAAAAGACAGCATTTCCACAAACCTAGCTGACAAGGTTACAGTCAGATAATGAAACACATTTACTGCAAATTGGCAAATTGGCAAAACTAGTTCAATCAATTCAAATGGCTTAAAATTGAATCTGAGTAAACATTTATGTAATGCTGTTTAATATTTGCTGCAAATGACTTCCTCCAAAACTATTATTTCCTGCTCCAGTTAATAGAATTAGTCAAAATATGAAGTTGCATCCCAGTATTTCTGTCATTTCCCATCTATTGACAATTCAGGGTAACAACACAATTAAAGGCTTCGATTCAGTTGATTGTTCTATTGTGTGGTGCTAGTTATTGATCTATAAAAAGAGACTGAAAAGATCAAGAAAGGAACATTCGGAGCCCCTTTCCCTGAGGAAGGAAGGGATAATGAAGCCCATCTATCAGGTGAAGTGTTGGAGGGATTAACTCTGGATTTCAAGCCAGACAGTTGCTCTGTAGTGCTACACACACTTCTGCTACACATGATACAGGAAGTCTCTATGTCTCTTACTCCCAGCTGTCTGGTGTCCCTCACACTGTAAATGCAACTTTCTTGATCTGTAATAATTTAAGAGTTAACACCTTTAAAGGTCAAGTATGTAATATTTAGGAGAATCTAATGGCAGAAAAAATGAATATAATATTTATAGGTATGTTTTCATTTGTTACCTTGGAATGAGCTGTTGTTATCTACAGATAAGAATCAGAAATACTTTATTGATCCCCTGGGGGAAATTTGTTAAATGAAGCAGGTCCTCTTCTACAGTAACCAAACACTGGCTCTAGATGTGGTATTTCACGGTTTCCAGGAGTTTTGCAGCCACCATATTTTCTCCCACACACTTGGTTTAGGCGAGCGATTTCGGTTGCAATTTGTATTCTCACTGCTAGATGCCACTGAATCCTACAAACTGGTCCTTTGAACCACTCTGAGGTAAAAAGTGACTAAGCGGAGGAGTGTGTGCATGTGTGTGTTATGTAGCACACACATCTGCAGCAGTGGCCTCACAGCTGCTGGCATTTTAATGAACATCCACCTGAGTTTGTCACATGATGAATGAACGGTATGGAAGTACAGCGAAGAGATATTAGTCCTGTGTGGTGGTTGATTATCCAACATTATACTGCTGCTTCCAATTGAGGGCAATCCTCTGTCGGGCTTGCATAGCTCTATGTGATTGGCTGTCAACTTCTTGTGACCCTTGACCTTTATTTGATGCCGACCTTACTGTATCTCGGAATCAGCTGCAACTGAGGCTCAAGCAAAGGAGACAGGGAGAGTAGGTTCGAGTGATATATTATGAGCCACTGTGGAGAGCCGGTTCACTATGGTTGGTAGTGAAGGTAGGGTATTGCTTTAGATTACTGTCATAGTTGTACTACTGCACAATTCATCACCTCCTTAGATCTTCACCACTGAGTCGTCAGTCACTGTAATTAATTAGCTACCTCTCCTTTTTTTCCTCCTGGGGGGAACGACTGTGATTGAAGAGGAGAGGAAGAGGTGGAGATTGGAAGGAGGATAGGAAAATATCTCAGTCTGATGACCTTTTCCCAGTCTCAGTCTCTCCTTTTTAACATGTGCACTACCAGTCACATCATGTGGGAGTTAACGTAATTACCATTTCCTTTTTAGTTTTACACACTCTTCACGCAGTACATGGATCACAAGTGGTCTGAAACCCATTAATTAACACCCATAAATCTTAATTAATATCCCTTGAAAAGCTTATTTTTGTGCCAGTTAGTTTATATTCATCTGTAATGTTAAGTTTTTTTGCATGTGAAGAAAAACACAAATGCAGGCAGCTCATGTGCAGCGTACCTTTCTCATGCCGCAACTACATGGACATAAAGTGATGTCGTTCTCACAAATAAATGCAATAATAATTTAAGCTAATTAATACGGTCCTGCTCTTCTGCATATCTGAAAGGCCTAATACGCATATCATATGATCTATTCATGGGTTGCCAACATTAAAAAATCCAAGGGATAACATATGAAAGTGAAAACAAACACTTATTTCCAACATGGTTCCAATGTGTTAAAAGACAAAATACATAACATGCAACATAAAACTAAACAAATTTAATAAGAAACAACATCATCAAAATACCTACAATAAGGACAATGTCTGTAACGAAGGCTGTCTCACAACAAGGTACCAATGTAAAAAAAGAATATTATTTTGAATAAGGAACAAACAGCTCCAAATGCAAAATAAGTCCTTATTTATCCAAACAAAACACTGTCCTTACTTCATAAAACCAACTGCATATACGATTATTAATTGGGTGTTGTTGTCTAGCCATTTGGATTGTGTGTTCACATCAACAAGTGTTACTGAGATTTTTCTCAGTAAGTTCTTATATATCCGTGTTGGTGATGAACAATGCATTTCAGTGGCTGAAAAAGCAAACAAACAATAATTGAATGTACATACGGCTATATTGACCATGCACAGTGTGTTTTATCTCTCACTGCAATCATATAACCATCACTCACCATTAACTCAATGTTAACAACTGATGTTATTCATTGTATTCAAATAACTCTCACTTTTAATAGCCATTCATAGTGTTTTGCAGGTAATATTACATTTGATATACATTTAAGAATTGTAGTTTCTCTTTATATTTTGTTTTTATTGATTATAATATGAGTCTGTTTTGCGATCACAACAAATTTATAAAATGACTGGCAGCTGCCATCTTGAGTTGCACGGCAATGGGAAATGTTACCTCCCATCCCACATGATTTTAATGTGGCATAACAGGGACACATAATGGACATGTGCTGTAACATCATTGTACACCAGCATTGCACAGTTTTCACTTTGCAGTGTTGTTGCTCAAAGTGCAAACAGGTAGTACCCATAGAAAAAACTAGCTCCTATAATAGTCTTGAACAGTATACAATAATGGTTAAACATTTGGTTTTAAAAAAAATTTCTGTCTTTGCTCTCACATATATTAAATGCACATAACTGATGGTACGGTGACTTCCTGCCAAAGCTGTAAACAGTCACAGCTTCTTTTCTGTTGTTCCACCATGCAGGAGAAGCGTGCATGCAGACACTCAGACACACAAACACGTAAACACACAAACACATTCATACATTTCACAGGAAATCGTCTGGGAGCCCAAAGTGAGAAGTGAAGACATTGTTGTAGTGAATATTGCATGATGTTTCAGGAGGATGGTTCAGGCAGCAGTTCCAGAAAAACAGCCTGCGCTTATGGTTTCTGCTCCCACATGTTCCCGCAGCAAAACACCAAAATATCACGCACACACACACACTCACACACACACACAAACAAAGGTGAGAGACCTATCAGCTTCCACTCATGCTCCTCTCCAGGTTTCCCACTGCGCTGCTCCAGCCCATTATTATTGATGATCTTTTTAATCCTGAGGAAGGCGACCGAAGTAAGGGGCTGTCCTTTGATCTCCTCTCTTTGAACGTCAAGTGGCAGTGGCTGCTATTGCCTGCCTCTATGCTCACTCAAACTGGCACGTATGCACACACACACATACGCTAACCCGCGCAATCACTCACACACACATATTACTATTACTATTGCATCGGACAGACACATTGGCCTAGACATCAGCTCCTTTGCATCGGTTTAACAAAATCTGGAGCAGATCCTCTTTCTAAAGCTCGGGAAAATCCATAGCAATCGGTTAATGTGAGGATTTTACTGCCTCTAAGCTGTGGCTCTTCCGCCCTGCATCGTCTCCAGTTAACATATTCATCATCTCTATACTCTGCTTTGTCTTTCCCTTCCTTGGCCTCTCACACAACAGCAAGATCCCCTGCCTTTTTACAACAGCAGTTAGGAGTGTGGGTAAATCAACCTGTTGTTTCACTAAGAAGACAAATTGACCTTCAATTAGGAGTATACACACAGATCCTAAGTCTGGGAAATGAGCCACAGTTTCTGTTTCTCTTCCTCTCACCTTCGGTTTCCTTGGCTCACTGACCTGCTGTCAATTATCTAGCCTCATTTTCCCAGCATCTATTTTTCAGAGGTGCTGAGGGATTGGCTGAAAAGAGTGGCTTTCCTCCCCTAGCTGCTGTAATAGGCTACAGGACAATGTTTAATTTAATGGCTGTGAATTTCCTACAGCCCAGAACAGAGGCATTGCGCTCAATAAAGCATTTCTTAAGTAAGTGTTTGAGGCATCCTTGTGGCTCATTTTGCTGATGGTCTTAATCTCAGTGGCATACCACCTCTTCATTTAGTTTTCTGATGCAGCTTTAGGCACACTTTTTTATCTGTTCTTACTGTACTATCTGAAATACAAAACCAAAAAATGTCCAAATACAGAATTTAGTCTTAGTTTCTTAGCTGTAACGCTTAATTGCCAGATTAAGTGAACACTCAAGGAGACCCAGCAGTGCTGTGTATGAACATTTAACACATATTCTGTAATCAATTCAAACATCAAACATATATTATGAAACTCCCTTAATCACGCTTGCCACTCAGAACAATGTTGAAGACAACTCAAGAAAAAAAAATATTTAACTGACCAATGTACATATTGGGAGATCCTGCTTCTTAAAGAAAACGTTCAACATTTTGGGAAATATGCTTTTTCATGTTCATGCTGCAAGTTGGATGAGAAGATTGATACTACTCTCATGTAAGTATGAGAATTAAGAATTAAGCTACTGCCAGCAGCCAGCTAACTTAGCTTAGCATTGTTGTTTTTACACAAATTGTAATTCTTGTACAGATTTCTTTACCTTTGGTCAGAGTCAGGCTAGATGTTTCCCCCTGTTTCCAGTCTTTATTTTTAGTTAGCTGACTGCTGGTAGTAGCTTTATGTTTACTGTAGAGATGTAAGAGTCAAATCAATCTCATCATATAACTCTCAGCCAGAAAGGGAGCAAGTGTATTTCCCAAAATGTTATTCCTTTAAAGAAGAATTTTCCATTAGCTAATATACCACTGCACCGCAATAACATCATCATCACATTTGGAGTTAGTAACAAAGTATCATCAGAAAAGGAACAGAATTTTTAAATATATTTCCTGATGAATTACAGACAGCAGTATCTTCCCAAATTCAATATATTGCATTAATAGATCTCAGTATGTGCTCTTCAGTCTGGAACATTAACCTAATAAAACCACGGCCATGTATTCAAGCTTGACTGTATTGAGATCACATGGGGCTCCTGTGTATTCCCAGCTCTATTCACAGCTAAAATAAAGCCTGTACAACACTGCCCCCAGGGGCTCAGTGTAACACAGCACTGTACCTCTGCCCTTTCTTCCTACAGTAGCTGTGTGAGTGGGTGGATGAAAAACTACTAGACAGCCTGACCCAATTAACAACAATCACTGCCATCACTGGCACTTTTCCAAGAGTTCCGTTCTGAGAGAGCTTGTGAGAATAAATATCTTTGGATTTCCCAGTGTGCTAAATATAAGTGGCAGGCATACAGACCACTAAAGTCTGGTTGAATCAAGATCAAGCTGAGCAATCATCCAGATCTCCCCTCACACCTTCACCAGCCCACGCAGATTTCCAAGAGCAAAGCTGAAATTTGTTTTTCATATGTCAGGATGACTCATATGTTATAAAATGGAAGAAAATGCTGCTCTAGGGCCTCCTGTGTGTTCTTATGTGATCTGAGAAGGGCCCCTCTCAAGGTTGGTTTGAGGAGGACTACAGGTGAAAGGCCCCTGTGGCACCATTAGTTTTGACAGAACAGTCGGTCCTAAGAACACTGACCTGAGCTGTGTTTCTTTGCTCCATGCTGCTGCAGTCAGTTACTGTGGATTTGGCCATCTGCCTGCCTGTTGTGTCTGTTAACAGAGTGATGAGTGAAGAGCAAGGTCAAGAAGGTAAACAATCCCTACGGCTATGAATTAAGTACAGTCAAGTTATTATTGCATGTTGTCATGTAATCTATCTTGTGATTGGTTCTCCAAGTCCTTTTCTAAGACACATTTAAAAAGGAATAGGTACAGATCTAAATTGCCATTATAAAAAGCGTTTTATGTATTTATACATATTTGACATGGCCACATTGTGATGGCTAGACGACTGGGTGAGAACATCTCAAAAACTGCAGCTCTTGCGGGGTGTTCCTGGTCTGCAGTGGTCAGTGAAACGGCAATAGGGTCATGGTATGCATAGTCATGTTACTGTAGCTCAAATTGTTGCATTAAAAAGTTAATGCTGGTTCTGATAGAAAGGTGTCAGAACACACAGTGCATCACAGTTTGTTGCGTATGGGTGGTCATAATGTTAAAGCTGATCAGTGTATGCTCAGTGCTAAATCAACTACACCACAAGGGGTCAGCCATTGAGTTTATGAATCACATCTGTTGGGCTGAATCATTTTGTTAATATGGGTTTTAAACTCACTCCTGCTGTATTTAATGTACTGAGAATCAAAAAGTCAAAGTGTATCAGTATATCATAGTGTAATTTTATATTTTGGTTATATTTAGATTTTAGATACTTAAAGCACTTAACAAGTAATAATAATTATATAAATTATATTTTGCAGTACTCCTGACTATATATCAGACAATAAGTTATTCATGAAGCAGGGTTTTAGCTACCGCTGGGGTACTGAGGTCATGTCCAGGTGTTAATGATAGAAAAGAGTTTACGCTACAATTATACACACACTACATCATTATACGTACATACGATTTTAAAGGCTAGTTCTTGTGTTTTTCCAGTTCAAATTTCTTAGGATTGGACTATTTTAGGTAGAAAAAAACAACAAAGAGAGATTACCTGGCAGTAAAGAAAAGAGTTAGACACATTAACATTAGTTTAGTGAGATACAGATTATAGAAAAAGTAATTTTTTTAAACTGTTAATCTTTTTTTTACACTTTTTTTGTGGCTAGTCAAAAACTTATTTAATGATTCTGCTCAGAGAATCTGGACTCCTGAGTAGTCCTGGCTGTATGGCCTAGTTATTAAGGAATTTGCTTCTAATAGCAAAACACTTTAAGTTTCCAGGTAAAAGCTGCACCTCCAAATATTATGCAGATGGTACATTTATTTTTGTTTTCCATCAAAATCTTTGTTTTTGAATTTAGTTATTTATTAAACTGGTGCAATACTATACTATACTATAATAGGCAAAGTTTTAAAAAAAAAAAACTAAGGAAAAGTACTTCAATAATATTAAATTATTTTAAAAAATGATGCATTTTGCAGAGACACCAATTAAGTTTTTTTTTTTAAACTAAGTCTCTATTGGAATATCTGTATAATATGTTCAAAACCACAACTGAGCAACGCAGACGCTTTTATTAGTCAGGAGGGAAAGTTGTGCGGCCATTGCAGTAAAGTTTTCTGGATGACTGTGAACGGGACTGTCCCACCCAGTGCTAAATGAGTGTTTGTGCGGGGCGGGGGTGCGATCAAGGCGCGTCCACATCCTGACAGAAGATCCAATATCGTCAGAGTGGAGAAGGGAAAAGAGGGAGAGAGGACTCCTGCTGTCTCATCTCGGCTCAGTGTTGCAGACTCGCAGGTTTTCATGACGCTCCTTCAGTGTCTCTACAGCGCGCTGCTCGGCATGTGTGACTACTGGATCCGCCTTTGTGAGTAAAAGCCGCTGTTGTGTATCTCTGCCGTTTGGTGAGCGAGGATGACCGATGGCGAGCTACGTCAGGAGAGTCAGATGCAGGAAGTTAGGTGATGTTGCCTTCAAAATAAAAGACCCATTTGTTGTGTAACGGGATAAGAAGCGGCTAGATGCCAAAATAAAATGGTATCGGACACATTAAAATACTTCGTTAATGTAGCAGATTCCAGGTACATGTCGGCCAACAACAGTACCCACAATGCACGTTGAATACCCGACGTCAGGTCTGCAAAAATGATACCACTGAAATTTAAAGTGCGTCACTGGCCATTACTTTGAAAGTTCCGACCGGAAGTTGTGTGTTTGTTGTGAGTCGCTTGACACTGAAATGATCAGCGCCCATCCCATGCTTTCTGCTTATTCATGCTTCATATGAAAATGGACGTGGGAAGTGTTTCTATTTAATATTAAATAAGAATAAAAATTAGAACAAGCCTCGTTAAAGTTAAATTAACTGATGTAATATGGAATGCAAAAAAAATCACAATAATAAGAGTTTATTTCTAAATTAAATGAAGTTAATACACTTTATTATTAAGTTGACAAGCTCTTGCCCCTGCTATTAAATACTTTCAGCTATCTCCAAGGCCCTTTGCAACTTGTCTTCCCTCCAAACTGTAGCCCATGTCAGAGATTAACCTACATACTGTTTGCTTTCCCCTCCACTCATGGTAGCCAGGAAATGCTGATCACCTTCCAGCCCGCAGTCTATTTTGGTATCATATCTCTGATGAGAGGACGACAGGTGTGGCCTGCATCACACAGAGCAATGCCTGGCACAGCATCACAACACGCCTCTGCAGGGTCTAGTTATTTAGGTCAGACTCAGGGCCCCCTCTGGAATTAGAGTTCATAGAGGTTCATCATTTCAGACTTCTGAGCTTGTTAAAGAGAGCATCCAGGGGGCAGGGGAGAAAAAGGCTGAGCCCCACATGCCTTATGGGAAAAGAGATCACTGGTGCCACTTACCAGTTCGAGGCCTACTGTGTGACAGACGAGCAGTCTGTGGCCCCCATGTCTCCAACCGACCATCTGTGTCCCAGTGAGTCACGCACGCACTTCAGTTCATGCTCGCCACTGATGCCAGCTATGCCGCCTGCCCGCTCACCTACCAGCTTCCCGCTTTCTATTCTCGGACGAGGCTCTAAGGACCCTCCTGAGCACAACATGCCACGGACACACGCACATACTTTACACTTGATGTCTCTGGTGATCCAAGTAGGCCAAAGTCACGTGGCATTATGTTAGCGTGAATGACAGAGGCCATCCTGAATATGAGTTAGAGAGGGCTCAGCTGTTGGCACATTCATCCAGGAAGGCTCTATTATCTAGCTGTAAACAGAGCCACTGCTTAAGATTGTTAGTAGAACATCATTTTTTGTATTTATAATCTTTTAATTAATAATTTAACTTACGGTAACATCTGTAATCACTAAGCTACTTAGAATGTCATAAAATTGTTTACACGCTGTGCAATCAGTTTATTTGTTTTGCTGTTTTTATTTGATTTTTTGGCTTACTTTATGTGCCTATACTGTACATACATTTGTTTCCCAGCTTAATACCATTACTTTCTTTTTGCTGTACCTACTTTACCCTGAGGGATTATTAGTTACCCTCAGTTTCATTCACAAATTGTTCTAACACATCAGTACTGGCTCAAAATTCATTCTGAAAAATGTTTTCTCAAGGGCACAATTACACAACCATATTTTGAAGTGCCAGCTGTTTATATGTATCGGCAATATAAACTGATAGTGCAGTAAAAGGTTTCAGGAATGACTGTTCCCACCTGGCAAGGCCATCGTATAGAGCAAAATCATTGCTTGGTTAAGTACACCAGTAAAATAAGGAATATTTTTAAGAACAATTTCCCTTCTGGCTTGACATTCTTATGTGGATCCAGTTGAGAAACTGCTCAGAATCGCCAGGTATGTGGACAAATGTCAATGACAAAATCCAGGATGCAAGTTTAAAAGAATAGTTCCAGCTTTTGGGAAATATGTGTATTCACATATTAAAGAAGATTAATACCACTATCATATCTGATTGTTATATATGAAGTTGGGAACCGTTAGTTTAGCATAAAAAGCTGACTTGGCTCTGTCCAAAGGTTAAACAATCCACCAGCACCTCTTAACATAATTAATTAACATATTATATATTAATTTGTACAAAAAACGGTCAGCAAAAACGACAAAGTTATGTGCTGAACTCTTTCCAGCGGGTGTAGTTACTTTCTTCAGTCTCCATGGGTCGCTTAGCAAACTCATAGCGACAAGAAGACTCCAGGAAGTCACTTTATGTCTTCGAGCATCTAACAACTATTTCATCTGTCAGTAATATGAGCTCTGAAATTAGTTAATATAAACATATAACACTTTATTTGCCTATTTGCAGACCCAAACAGAATACTGCGTCAAGACTATTTATTTTTTTGTTCTGTTTGTACGGTCAGAAAGAGCTGGTTTCTGAGGCAGATGGAGAAATAAAACTACTACCGGTACTACTAATACTGCAAAGTATTAATAAAGTTATGTTGCCATTGCTCTCCTAAAATCTGTTAAATACATATACTACGGTAGATCATATTGTATGTTTGGGAAGACTTTTTACTGTAACCGGTTTTAAAATGTTGATTGAAACAATGCGTACATGATCCTTTGAGCTATAAACTCTAAGCTGAGATAATGCTGTAGTCTTTGAGTTTGGAGGTTTGGAGTGGTTTAGTGTTGTTGATAGCACTGTGTATATCCAGATGTCTCCAAGGGGACTAACAGCTCCAGTCATAGCTTGCAATATTCCCTTGCAATATTCCCTTCTCTCTCTGTAACTTTCTTTCTCTCAGTTCAGTTCAGTGAGACTTTATTTGAGTGAGACAGTATTACCAAAGCACACTCCCATGAGTCTCTCCTTCCTTCTCTCTCGATCATGCACTGTCAATTATCCAGTCATATTTTCACAGCAATGCTCACTTTTAACAGGTGCTAAGACTTCAGCTGCCCCCTTCTGTCTTTCACAGTGTCTTTTAAAAGAAGCAATTAACTTGTTAATGTTAAACTTGTGAAATACTTCAGGGAAACACTTTTGCTTGAGTCATCTAGTGAAAGTATGAGGTGTCCACATTCATAGTAACTTTGGATAGAGATGTGATGACAGGTAACTCATAAACACAGTATCCTCTGTATGGCTCTGTGGTGCTGAAAACTAAATAGCATAAGAATGATGAACTTCCATGCATTCTTTGGCTGAAATTAGACTTAAAAATAAGAATGTAGTCAAGTAAAAGTAAAAATCTACTTATTCAAAACATTTGTAGTTTTGGCTCTACAGTCTGTATGTATTTATGTATATGTATTTCACTAAATTTCCCTGCATATTTAATGTCTCTCTTACTCTTCCAGTCTTTCAACTTTACTCTTTCATCAGCCTGTGTTATTCCTCTGTGCTGTGGGGATAGTTAAATCCAGATTTATAGTAATCCACATAAAAAGCAGAACAAAGACAGAAGAACAAAGATAAAGAGGTCAGGTGAAAGTATGGTTGTTAATTAAAACTGTTACACACTAAGCCATGGATCACTATGGAGCCTCAAAGAGGAGGTTGTCAGTACTTACCAACTACTTACTTAGACATTATTGTGTCTAGGAATATGTAATGCATGTTTTTTGTTGAACATTTTGAAATGCATCTCTGCATGAACAGTAACCCAAATTATTCAATGATATAATGAAAGTATTCATAAGAAACAGAGACAAGTGCAAAATTAAACCAGTATGGGTTGAGTAGCTTTTATATGACGCCAACTAAGCTGCTATCATGGATAAATCTGAGCACTTCTAAATGTGACTTCTCATTTACTCAATGCCCAATTTCTGATGCAATATCTTTGTGTCATGCCAAGCATTTTACTCATCCCACGTGGGATTACAAGACATTTCAACATTCAAAATCATGCATCAACAATATTACGATATATCTTATATTGTGTAACACATACACAAAACCAAAAGAAATACATAAATTTAACATTAAATGCACTGCTTCTTATTTTCAACATATATGTGATTATTTTCAAATAACGCCATCAAACATCAGAATAAATAAAATGCTGAAAGCATTATCCTGGTAAAGGGATGTTTTCCTCATCTCCCAGGCTTCATTCAAGTAAGCTAACTTAAAGGTTTAGTATGAGTCAGTTCCTTTTTTTTTTTTACCCTACTGAAATATTGAATGGTTCTCAGTAAAAGGGACAATAGAAAACAAAGAGAAACTCACTGTCTCTATCACTGAGATGGCACATTGGACAAATGAGCAAGACCAAATAGCAACTTACCTGTCATGAAATAAGGTCACCAGGAGTGTAAAAGTGTAACATATTATCAAGCCTCTTTAAGGTGTAATATTTTCTCTTGAATATTTGCATTACAACTAATAATTCATAATTAGTTTTTCAATATGGGTTTGTCGCCACTAGAGGGAGCTTTATCCCCACTTTTAGAATAAATCCAGTCTCAGTATATGGGGCAACTCAAGTTCTATCTTGTGGAATTACAGTCAGAAATTATTTTTAGGCACATTGTTTGTCTATCAACACTCTGTGTGTTTTTGTGAGTGTCTAAAAAATCAGAAAAAGATGGAGATAGAGGAATAGAGAGAAGAAATGAATGACTAGTATGTGAGATACTGTATCCCTGAATTATGACTGACAGTCATGATTTGCTTGAAGTATATGTGCCTGAGAGAAATTGAGATCAAACGATGAGGACGTTGCGCAGGAATGCTCCTTTGAGCTCCATCAATCCCTCCTGCCATGTCTGTTCCTCAGTCACACATACACACAAATACACAGGGATCGTTCTCTATTTCCTGCTCTGGTGTTAATTACAGGGACAGATAAAGCCCTGCCTTAGCAACGTATGCCGCTGCATGTGAAATACACCTGTGTGTCAGTGG